AGACGGGAGCGAAGCATATCCTCAGATATCTTAGTGGCACAAAGGATCTTGGTTTATTCTTTAAGAGAAATCATGATCCCAATATTATTGGATACACAGATGTTGGTTACTTATCTGGTCCCCATAATTACGAATCTCAAACAGGATTTGTATTCTTACATGGAGGCACACTATTTCATGAAGTCTTCTAAACAGACTCTGACGGCGACCTCTACTAATCATTCTGAAATTATTGCTATATACGAGGCATCACATGAATATGTATGACTTCGCAGAATGATTAAGCATATATAACAGTCATGTGGTAATGGTTTGATTGAATAACCTATAATTATCTATAAAGATAATTTCGCTTATGTTACATAGATACAAACAGGTTACATAAGATTAATGTCACTAAGCATATAGCCCCTAAGCTGGTTTATCTCCATGAATTATGAGAAAGCAGGGGAGATAAACATCTTGCAAATCAAGTCATGCGATAATCTCGTTGACCTATTTACTAAGTCCTTACCAACATCTATGTTTCAAAATTTGTACACAAGATTGGTATGCGACGACTTCGAATTTTGCAAGGATCAAGGGGAGACATCTCTTAGATGCTAACATGTACCAGTATCATATTATACTCTTTTCTTTCACAAGTTTTATTCACAAGATTTCTTGTTAAAGTTTTTAATGAGGTAATATTAACATAAGCATGTGTCATATTTTCTATTTTCTCCATCGGGGTTTTTGTGAGAAATATCAAAGACACATATTGCCCTCACAACTCATCCATGGTTTTTCTCTGAAAAGTTTTTTCATGTGAGTTACCCAAGAGGCAATGCCAATAATATATCGTCATATTTTCTCCTAATTTTCCCACTGGGTTTTTATAGGACTTTTAGCGGCATATCACTTTATATTGCTCCTCATATTTTTTTTCCTAAAAGGTTTTTGGAGGAGTTATCTTTATGTCGTATCTCCAATTTTTTTTTCACACTTGGATTTTTAATGGGATGCCAATGACATAGTGGTTTATTTAAATCACACAAACAAATAAGTTATTTTCTCCTTATTTTCCAATAAGATTTAAATAAGTTTTTATGGCATATCTATATATTCCTCAGATTTTTTTCAAAGGGTTTTTCGAGAAATTTCAGCTTACAGTTGTATTGATCTTAAGGAAGATTCGATCAAGGGAAAGTGTTGTGAAACGACACCTATACCCGAACGGACGTCAACAGACGAACATGCGTCTCTTCACGAGTGATCTCATCCATCACAAGATTAATGGATATGATTAGACGGTTAGTTTTAGTCTCAATGGGCATGTCTTTTGAAAATAGTCGTGTCCCTTCGTGACACCCCTTCACTTATATAAATATATTTCAGAGATCAATGAAGGCAACAGTTCTTCTAAATCTTATTCATTTACCTTCACTTCTAACAAAAACATATAAGATTAGCGATGAGACACTCTCGTCGGCCCTGCCCCTACCGAAACTCGTACCAGCATCTACCTTGCCAAAGCTTTCTAATTGCGTGGATGAAGCAACATCTATAATAAATAAACTCCAATTCCAACAATGAACTTGCATTCTAGGAGTTCTCTTTGGCAGCAACGTTCCTTGTAGTTGTAGTTGACAAACCCGATTTGGCATGTACCAAACTTTCATTGAGAAACTGGCTTGACAATGTCCCATCCTAGACTAGATTTCTCCTTTTGCCATTATCCATTATCTCACACCTTTTAATTTCAAATGGAGTAGCGATTTATCTAAATAGTACTTCCTCTATCTAAATTATAAATATTTTAGTTTTTCTAATACATTGCTTTTACTATGTATCTAAACATAGTGTATATTGAAATGCCTAACTAAAACTATATATCAAATGTCTTATAATTTAGAATGGATGGAATAATATTAAAGAATCAACTCAACAATTTATTAAATCATCGCACCTGTGCAAATGTGTGTATTTCATTTTTCTTCCACAGCCAGTTGAGTAGTAAAAGTTCACTTAAAGATACAAGTTAAAAATGAGGGAAACTAAAAAATGGATCCTAACCATAGTAAAAATCTACAAATCATTTTCAAAAAGAAAACTACAAACCAGTTCCCATGTATAATTAACTGGAGCTGCGTAACTTTTAGCATAAGGGAAGTAAGAAAAATAATAATCCATTTAAGAGTGATGCATTTGAATCCACAAGTGGAGCTGTGGAAAATGAAAGTTAGCTATGCATTACAAGCTTGTTACTTTCCCTAATGTGATTAATTACATTCAGAATCGTATAAGAAAAGAGACATAGGAATAAGTAGGAAACAACCTCAAGGCATCCAGCGCCATGCACACTCACCCTCTTCCACCTCATGGCATGTCTTCCTCAATGTTCCATTGCAAAGTGATTACATCATTGCATTAACTTAAGATTAGCTATGACTTAAAAAGCATTCAAGTTCATGAAACCAAGCTTGCTGCTTCTTGTGGAACGCTAGGCTAGAGGCATATAGGGAAACTTTTGGAGGGTTCAAACTCTGCTTATTGAATTTTGAGCAAAGTTTATCGGTGACAGAACAAATGAGCTATTAGAAACCAGGAGCGTTGTAACCATAGGAAAATAACATTCAAACCATAAGTCCATAACGCTTTGGTAGCTTTATCATCAGAGCTTGCAACTAATTCAGCCCAATTGTCAGTTTCAAGTGTGCATTCATTTACTGCGGCACAACTATTTTGAACCTGAAAATAGAAAACCGATACATGTCAGCTTATTACTGACAGTTACTGTGCACACACGATGATGCCCACTTTCAGCTATGACATAATTGGCACAGGAAAATATTTGATTAGTTTTATTTCATGAATTGTGAAGGGCGGGCCTGGTGCAAGCAGTAGAGTCTTACCGCCTGTGACCGGAAGGTTCTGGGTTCGAGTCGCGGTCTCCTTGCATTGCACAGGCGAGGGTAAGGCTTGCCACTAATACCCTTCCCCAGACCCCGCACAGAGCGGGAGCTCTCTGCACTGGGTACGCCCTTTTTTTATTTCATGAATTGTAAGGTCATCTAAGTGGAATGCTAATTGCTAAGCAATACCATAAATTATTAACTATGAAATGCTGACAAAAAGATGTGTCCCTTGTTTCAATTCTTGTTGAATTACTGATTTTATTTAATCAGTTTTAGTTGATACATTGTAAGATTAAGCAAGGAGAAATGCCAAGAAAGGCCATAAATTATGAACCATATATCATTGGCAGAAATGTGTGCCCTTTGTTTCAGTTCTCAGAAAAAAAAAAGGAATGTTCCAACCACCACCATCTAGTAGTATATCAAATGTTGCAGAGTTGTAACTGTTGCTTATAACATATGTAATCTCCAGCATATAGAAAAATCAGATGAACAAATTAAATGTGAATGCACAACTGGGGAAAAAGTCCTAATTAGAATTAATTCTAATGCCATTCTACACTTTTCGAAACTTAATGCAATGAAGAATTCTTTATTACTTTTCATCAGAAGGAACCTCTCAGTGGTAATATATCTGACAGGTAAGTACAGAACTTTAGATAGCTAATCCTATTTAATTGTATATATAACCTCATTTCAGTAGACTTGCAAGCACACAGGACAGACGTATCTCTCGCTCTCCTTGTCCATCACTGCAGCACTCCAGCTCTTTATTCTCGCTCTTCTTGTCCATCGCTGCAGCACTCCAGCTCTTTGTTCATACTCCTATGTTTGATTGACCTGGTTACCAGACACCTACACATTCCCTTCTTCCAGATTTGGATCCAAAATTTGTCCTTATTTGAACCTAGGTGTGGTTACTTGGCCAGTAATTAAAATATGCATTGGAACACCACGAGTTCACATGGGCAAATCATCAAGCACACGGTGATCGCCACATGAGTTCAGAGAGGCAAATCATCAAGCACAAGGCCTGCATACCTGGTGAATGAGGCACTGGGAGTCTGGGACGGGACAGAAATCATCAACTGGATCAGCTGAATAATTGACTTGCCTGTGCCATGTCCACACCAATCTCACAATCTTGTTGTTGCCGCTAAGGCACGAGGGTGGCATACAATGAAAGTAGGCCTACTGCCATTACGCCGACAGCCACGCCTGAGGGCTAGGAGGAGGCTGGGCAACACGAACGGAAAGGAAGGCAGACGAACCCTACGCGCTGTTCCCGCGCCCAAGCAATGCCTGAGCCGCCGATTGTTGCAGCCGAGTGTGTCCGCCAGGTCGCGGAGAACCACACGGCGTCCACATCGTTGAACAAGCACCTCTCGCCCCACCCTCGGCCAGATCTACGGTGGTGTGGGGCGGGCACAGGATGAGGTCTCTCGCCCCCACACTGGTCCGATCTACAGTGGTGTGACATTGGCACGGGAGGAGGACGGTGGTGCGCAGGACGGGCTTGGGAAGAGGACTCTCCCCCTCTCCCCTCCCAACCCTGGGGCCGATCTGCGGCGGCGCGAGATGGTCACAGGAGGGGAACGACGTCGACATTCGACACATGGGCAGAGGGTGAAAAGGGATCCATAGAGGGAGGCCGGAGGAGCAAACAGGTTTCCTAACCACGGCTAGGAGCAGCGCGGCGGGACGCCGGGGCATGCCATCTGGGAACGGCACAGCGGGCGCTAGGTGGGCGGCGACGGATGGAGAGGAGGTGGTGGTTGCAGAGGGCCGTAGGGAAGTGCCAGGCGACGTGAGGCTGGCCAACATGTTGGCGCAAACAGGAAATCGGAGGGAGCCTATCGCACAGCGGCTTCACCACGGTCTGTGAACAGGTCCAGTTTACTCTTTTTAGGAGTAGAGAATCAACCTAGGGCCTCCGCTATGTCAGGACAGGTTAGTTGCAGAAAAATTGCTAGGCCGTTTTGCTATTGGCAGCTATTTGGGTAGTACTTCTCCAAAGTAGTATTTGTGCAACAATATAGAGGTAATTTTTACAATTTCACACATAAGGATACAAGAAGTTATCAAGGATAACTTGTAGCTCACCTATGCAGCAGCATAAGCCTCCTTTGCTAGGGAACGAAGGAACCTCATAAGTGGCTTCTTTGCTCCAGAAAGCTTCACATTAGAATCTTCCCCATCTTTATTGTGCGTGTTTTCTTGGACCATGTGAGCTCTCTTCACAAGCTTTCGCAGTTCCTATTGACAAAATGTTAGAGCAACTGAAGAACCTCAAACATTGAGCCAGAACAAATGCAGTTGACTCAGTTGTTTTAGTAAGTTTAGGTGTGCAAGAGCATCCCAAATGCCTCAATAGGTATTCATGAGAAAGTTTAGTTTTAGAGTTCGATGCAAACACCAGTCTTACATGTTGGATGTATTAAGCTTCAGCACTAGAAGTGTTCATCTTTGACATACTCAAAGCACAGCCAATAAGAAGGCTCAAGAAGAAAAGAACACAAGTCTATGGTCTCACTTACCACAGCAACAAGAAATATACAGCCGGCATTACACGTAGTTTAATTAATACTACATTGCAACACAAACACTATTATTACTGGATTCATGCAGAACAATGTTAAAGATCACAATGCTACTAACCATGCTTCCCATATGGCCATATGGGATCATAGTAACCATGTTGCATAATCCGAAGGGATCAAGGGGGTGAGCAAAAGGTTTATTGTTGCTTTAAGTTCTGAGAACTGAGATGTTACATCAGAATAAGAATCGTGTTCTTAAACATCCTGAAAACATAGCAATCATCAAGAATATAGTATGAAATAACAACATTCATGTTTCAGTAATTTACTTTCTTACAATTATCATACTTAACCTGAACTAGGATATACACTTGTTCCTTAACTGTTTATATAGACCTAACATCAGTTTTGCTCAGTGACTGAGGTTGTTAGTCACAATTTATAGTTACACTTGCTACATTGAATCATGCATGACTCTATTACAAATGATAACACACATGCCAATAATGTCAGTGACATGCACCAACGTAATAGAGATGCAAACTTTGGTTAAATAACAAAAAAAGACTTTTAGATAGGCATACAACAAGGCTCGAAATTTAGATTGCTCATCAAGGTTTGAAATTTGTGGCACAGGTAGCATGCATTTACTTATTAGGCTATTTGGCAATAGCCAATAAGGACAAAACAATCAATCAGGCAATTAAACAAGCTTAACATGGATTATTCTCGTGGACCCTTATTGGGAAAAACAGTACCAAATGAGGCTTCATGGTTCCAGATTAGCTTTCATGATCAGAAAATATATTATAAGTCTGAGTCCTTTAGAGATTGAGTACTTTATTGTTTAGATCCTTAGTTGAGATCTTTGTGTCAGTTAAGATGAACCTTCCCTTTAAAGTAACATGCATTATACTTCCATAAAGCAATCAAGAAATAATTAAATCTCCCATCCCAGTGTAAGTCTACCGCTCTCTAGAAACATTACTGAAGATCTTTCCATCCATACGATCTGGCTACCTTTTGCACCAAAGTTACCCCAATGTGAACCAGCATTTGAATCACCTATTTTCTTTGTTTCAGCAATAGCTTTCTGTTTGGATAAAGGTCAATTTCATTTCAGTTATCAATTTTCCGTGATGCGTTTTTGCGTGAAAGGATGAACAGACCAATATAACTGAGGACCTGAAGACCTGAACAAAATTCATGCAAGAAATGAAAAACAGGTAAGGACTCCTTAGACTCCTGCTCTTTGAGCAGGAAGAAACTACGTAATTCCTGATTTCCAGAGTGTACTCAATATTTTCTCATTTTTTAACCAGAATCTGCCTGTAATACTATACTTTATCTCTCTACTTCAACAAGACCACAGTAATTTTACCATTTCATTCAAGAGAAAATGATCAATAGTCTGTTTCTTAAACTGCTTTTGCACAAGAAAAGGTTGGATTCTGGCTTCTTAAACTAATTTCAGTCATGTATTTTGGACAAACCATACTAGACTACCAGCAAAGAATGGGTCAATAAGAGGCATAGAAAAGTGGTGCTAGGAACAATTAGAGAAACATGTTTGGAAAATGTTTTATAACTTTAATTTGAGTGTGCCTGCCTATTAGTTAGGTTATAGCTGTCCTGACCTGGGGCTCAAATAATTACTTCCAGTAAAAGCTTTTCAAGACCTTAGAAGACAAAATTAAGAAAGGATGCCACAAGATCAATTAAGCTGCAGCCCAGAAAAAACGGTGCTATGAAAAACAAGTCAGCCATTATTATTAATGTATCAATTCGCCCATTATTAATCTCTTCTCTGCCGATTCAATGCATGGATGAACATTCTGATCAAATTTTCAAATCAAATATCAAATGTAAGTGCAGACAATACCTGACGATCGAATTCAACACTATGGATAGAGTAAACTTCATTAGTAACCGAAATGTCTTTGCAAAGGAGGCCATCAAACCATCTATCTGCAATTTTCATATACTCTTGATTGTCCTGTAGAAATGCTGAACGGTTAGTTCAGTGTTTGCTAGGTCTTTATCATTCTAGTTATGTTAACCAAAAAGGCTACCTCTTCTTCGTCAGGTAGGTCCTCCACTTCCTCCTCTTCCACCAACAATGTACCTTCACTAAGTAAGGTATGTAACTTGCTCTCATCTCCATCCTTGGAAGCCTGTATTAGAGTATCCATCAATTCTGGTTGTGCATTGCGCAGCAGAAGTCTTCCTGGTCAAAATGGATGGATATAACATAAAATGAAAAGGTAATATACGACGAATATAGCTCAACAATTCTTTACTGTCTCTCTATCTATTTCTGAAAACCTTACTTCTTTAGTACTTTTGCATCCATGTACCAACACATATTAGGTAAATTATGTTATATATAATTGTAAATACCGCAACCATATTGTCATTGAAGAGCTTAAAAACACTTATAAATCAATCTCTAAATGTCATGGATCAACAAATTCCATTACTGAACCAAGCAACCCCCTTGAAGAACACAATAATTCGGCATAAGAAAATGCTGGTAGTACATGATCGATCAGAGAAACAGACGGACCGATGTAGTTGAACTGTCTCCTCTTTCCTTCCCGCACATCCGGCCCAAATTTCTGAGAAGCAAGAATTACACGTGAATGTCCCCAATCCGGTGATGCACCACACCACAATGTCGTCGAGGAAACGAACGAACGGATGTACGAACCTTCACGAGCATGAGCGCATCGAACACCTCGCGCTCCAGCGACGCGGCACTGAGGATGCGCTTGATCTGAGGCGGGGAGAAGTTGGCGAGGTCCATTCCCCACTTCACGGCGCGGCGGGCCTCCCGCTTCAGCTCGTTGCGGCTCTTATTGAAGGACACGGCGGCGGCGCCGGCGCCGCCGCCGGCGTCTGGATCGTCGGTGTCCTCGGCATCGGAGGGCAAGGGGCGGCCTGCGGGACGGAGGGCGCGAGGGTGGCGGAGGCCAGGTAAGGGGGCCGCGAGTGAGGACAGGAGGCGGGCCTCCTTGAGGAAGAGGAGCGGACGACGTAGCGGCACGGCGGCGGCGGCTGCCGCGTGCGCCATGGCGAAGGTTACAGGATTACAAGTGCTCGACGGACGACGGCTGGCGTTGTAGTGCTACTGCTGATTCGGAAACGCTGAAACAAACTTGGAACCGGCTTCTCTGACGAGGAATCACGTCCGAGGGCACTGTGCACGCCGATATTGGGTAGGTCACAGCACAGCAGGGACACACGCCGCCGCACCGCCACGACTGCGCAGAGCCGCAGAGGAGATAGCGCCGCGCCGCGCACTGGCGGCCAGCCGCACGCCCGCACCGAGATGCGCCGCCGCCACGCTCCGATCTTCGCGCCTCCGTCAGGATAGGGATAGATAGGGTCCGAAGTGTGTGTGTGTGGGAGTGGTGGGGGTGCTTGGGCCACGGCGAAGACGCGAGAGTTGGGCCAGGAGCCCAGGAGGAATGCGGGGCTGGCTGTGTCTAGACCTGGAAATGGATCTTGTAATTTTTTTAAGCCTCCCGTCTGGGTATCCGTTCATACACTTACACACGCCACGCTACACACTACATGTGTACAAGCTAGACATACAACTACACACATAAAAAGACCGCGTCTTGTTAGAGATCACCCGGATTATCCATGGTTCCATAGACATGCAATTCTCTGGGCTCCACGTGAGAGAGGCTGCAGCTTCTTAAAGTGAGAGACATGAGTTCGATTCAGGGAATCGAACCCGCGCCGGCAGCAAGCACACCTAGCTGCACTAGCCACAATCTTGTTAGGATTTGGTTATCCAGCACCGCAAGATCCAAAGCCCTGTTCGTTTGAACTTATTCGAAACTACTTTTCAAATATAAAATTATGTTTTTCTCTCAAAACATTTCAAAGATAAACAAAGAAAGATGTAAAATTAAATTTCGTATAAGCGAAACAGGGGTGAATGTCCAATGGACTTTGTTGGACACACGCAGAAACAGGTGGCTGGCTTTGCTGGCCACGAAGGATTTAGGAGCACATGACAGTGCCGGTGCGCAGGTACGATGCGATATTGGAAGTTTGGATTGGATTCGGAAGTTTGGATTGGATTCGGATTAGCTACAGACATACTACTGCTCTTTGGTATAGGGGCGCTCCGCGCTCAGTGAATTGGAGGATTCTTTACGGCTTATTTTGTTCGCTGGGAGTTCTGGTTAATCAGGGTCCTTAAAACTTGTGGCATGTTCCCAACACAGTTGCATACATTCGATTCATCCTTTTGGCACGCCAAGTTCCCCACAAGTATGACAAGAAAAGAAATTCCTAATGAACCGTCTTTGGTATCCAGGCAGGGAATGATTCATGTGAAGCAAATCCAGAAATCCTTCCATCATCACCCCTCAAAGGTAATTTTATTTTTTTGACATCAACTCAAAGGTAGTGTTGTACGTTTGCAACGATTGCCCAGGTTAAATAGAGATACTGCACTATACTACTTGATGCCTCAGCAAATTAAAAACCAACTTTATTTTCTGCATGTGCAGTTGCCAGTTGTTCATATAGATATATCAATCTACTGAACTACTCAAAAGCAATAGATTCTCACATACTTCAACGATCAATCCAATCCTTGAACAGAAGCATCATGTACAGGGGGACATTCAGAGCAGCAATGACAACAATCGACTGAATGACACGGAACAGCCGTTGGAGCACCTTCCTTACTCTCGATTTGCTACCACGGGCCAACTTCCCTCCATCTTCTGATGTCATCTCAGAACCCATGTCGACATGAATAGATGAGGAATCAGGCTCCAATTGGTGTTTTCCTGCTGTTGCCCTTGCAACAACACTTCCACTGCAATGACGTTGCAAAATCGTATCATCATACAATTATTACAATTAAAAGGAACGAAATCATTCATTCAGTTGTGTGAAGTATCTATTATAACCATAATCCAAGAAAAAGCACATACCGCCCTGTAGGTCTGGAGTCTGAGCTAGCACTTGGGGTCTTTGCCACTACCTTTTTAACGAGGTGCATGGACCCTTCCGCATCAAAAATCATATCATATTCACCATCTTCCTCATCATCTTTTTCCTTGGTTCTTGAAAGCAGTTCGGCACCCACCGACCTCATGAAGCTCACGAATGTGTTCATGTATGGAAGAGAACTGAGACCATTTGTTGGCCAAAATACTAGGAGAAGGATGGTCACTACAAACTGGCAGATATACCTGTACAAACAGTTCAAGCAACAATGATGGATAGTTCAACTGTAAATCTTATCACTAAATAAATAGAACAGGCAGAATGTGTTGTAACCATTACCAGACATAAATATGGGTTTGTTTAGGCAGAAAACAAAGGTTTGTCACAACCTCATGTTCCAGATCAGTTGAATTTTGTGACACCTTGGGTCCAGCAGATAGCAGCATAAAAGATGGATAGAGATTTCCTTGCTGCCAACTTATTGTCCCCAGCGTACTGTGGCATTAAAAGTTCCATTAGATGCACAACTTGGAACATGTGGCAACCGAAAGCTGCAATTCTTTACCTCTGTAACTGGCCCAAAAGGAGTGGAGTGGACGACTGTGCATTGGTCATGATCATGGCCTGAGAGCACAAGGACCTACAGAGGGATTAGCTGGATTAAAAGACACGCATAACAAGTTAATCTAAATTTCTTCAAACAGAAGCTTACCGGCTTCAACAAGCTTAGCAAAAGGTCAGAAGTCTCTTTAGTTAGATAATTTTGGTAGCTGCAACAAAACGGTTGCCTTATGTCAGTCCATATGGCTTTGCCAACAATGGTTTTTGAACTGGTATGACCATTGATCAGAAGTGACTTTACAGAAAATACATCGGAGGAAACCAGACTGTAAAAAATTGAGATACCACTAATCACATAGGCAATTCTTCAAAACAGAACAGGATAGACAAGTTGAGTGCAAAATAAAATCACAAGTCAAAGCAACAATCATTGTTTTCCAAGTCAAATGATAATTATGTGTAAATACAAAATTAGTTGAAACATGAAAGTAGCAAAGCAGTAGAGTGTGAGGAAGAACATACGCGATTCCTTGGTCTAAGGCAGCATAAGATACCCTCTGGAACAGAATAAAAACAATCAGCATACTATTCATGTGATTGACTGAATTGCTTATGTCAGAACTTGTAGAATATTAAAAACAAATAAAGTGGAGGAATGATGCTACATATGAAAAAAAGAATAATTCTGGCCAAAAAAAATCCATGGTACAGTGTCTGCCCTTATGGCCGAAATGCGCATATGCAAGTTTGATGAATTACTTTTCATAGCATAGAATAAACACGTTTTTGGTAACAAGAAAAGAATACCTTTTGGTAACAAGAAAAGAATACCTGATTTATAATAGGTGAAGAACGATGTGGGCCACAAGGAGAGTTATCAGGTCGGTATAGTGGAATATGCGTTAGTAGAACCTTTGGGTTTGATGCATTACCTTAAAGAGAAGAAAAAAATAGTTAAGACTGAGAGTAAGTGATAGACTGATAGCATCTGTAGATAATGTGTGATCATCTGTATAAGGCCATACCTGGAGATAGAGTTTTAATGAACTCCCAAGAGGAGGACCTTTCTTTGCTTTTTTTAGCTCCTGCTAGAAAGATGGTAGGTTGGTAAGAGTTTTTAGCTGCAGAAAGCAGATGCATCGCAGGAAAATCGTGGACAACTTGAGATCATTAGTCATCAAGAAAAACAACCAAATCTTAGATTCTAAATCTAAAGTATGAATCCAATGTTTGTACTAGGATTGTTGATTTCTTTAATGCTGTAATGCACAGGTGGAGGTGAAGAAACATACCATCAAGTGTTTGGGCATCAACAACAACAAAGTCCACCTTCCCAGCAGAAAATTGATAATTTCTTGGTCCAAATTCTTTTTCATACCGACTGAGCACCTACATGAAAAATAAATAAATATTATACAATGTAATATGTAAATATTTGTCTTCTGAACACTACATAGTTATAGAAATGCACAAATCATAACTAGAATTTAGATATATGCATTGATTTGGCTAAGGTGTACACTTTATGGTCTGTAAACTTAAATTCGGTAAATTGTTAAACTTCAGATTACAATGAGAAGTTTGTTATATGTCGAAATAGCCTCTTTGTAATATGGCAAAGCCATGAAGGACCAACCAGCTGAGAGAAAAAAACAGTGATAGGGTTCAGCAGGGTGCTACAAACATCTCTTTGCAAAGGTTGAAAACACACCAAGAGGGGCCACTTGCAGCAATCAGCAAAGCAATGATCTAGGTTCAAAATGCGTTGCAAACTTCAGTTCTGGCTGCACTTGGTGAAAAAGTACAAATCATGGAAGGGGTGTCACCCAGAGTTTCAGCAACAGGGACCAAGTCTGGGTAGTCACTAGATGAGAAGAAACTACTTAGAATCTTAATGGAAAGGAAGCCTAGCTTTGTCTAGAAGTGTATGGCTGCTAAAATAAAATATCTTTGGAAATAAATAATCGCATGAGATTACAGAAAGTAGTAAATGGAAAGCTCGCAGAGGAGGGGGGCAACTGTAGTTAATCACCTCAGGATGAACTGAATGAAATGCTGAGTAACCAATATCATGATTTCCTGAAAGGTAGTAAACAGGGATCTGTGGCTTTGTTCTTTGTTCATTCAGGCTGAATATATGTTTAAATCGAAACAATGACTCCTGCCACCTGAAAGGTTTGGAACACAGATTAGGGAAAGAATACAAAGCTAAATGCCGAACAATTTGATCATTATGGATAGGTGGTTACACAATAAAGGTAATATGGAACTGTTGTAAGGATAAATTGCATCCGCCAAAAAGGTTGTGTGTATATCTTTTGCATTCTAATTGATTAAGTACTACACATTCCAATTCAAATTGTACCATCTTCCTTTCAAGCACACACAATAGTGCCCATTCATCACAGGACAAGTTGGAATGTTGATAAGTGCAATTCGTGTACCAATTAAAAGATGAATTAGAAATCAGTATCCGTGCCTTACTCTTCATCGGACATGTAAGGGCCTCCATCAAAGTGATCACCAAGAAATAAG